CAAACACCATCAATCCACAAGCTTTCAAAAACATTGTTGTAACATTATACATCATTCAGTTTTTCAGTACCTACCATAAAAAGTTACGGTTTACAGCATGCGATAAAAACACAAAAGCAGAAAGGAAAACATGAAGATTCACTAAACTCCAGAATGTAAATGGCGGCAATTCCACAGAGAAAAGCAAAAGGATATTTACAAGCCACCAAAATAAATCGTTGTGTTTTGTGTCGGCATTCTCTTTGCTCAATGTTTTGTTTTCTGAGAAAGGTATGCAGGTTGATGTCCCTTATCTGAAATTAGGTAAGATAGGTAAAGGTTGTCCCCTGACATTCAGTCCAGTCATGTCCAACTCTGGGGGTGGTGGTGCTCATCTCCATTTCTAAGCCGAAGAGCCGGCATTGTCCGTAGACACCTCCAAGGTCATGTGGCCGGCATGGAATGCAGTTATCTTCCCACCTATTGATCTACTTGCATTTGCATTTGCATGTTTTTGAACTGCTAGGTTGGCAGAAGCTGAGCCTAAAAGCGGGACCTCAGGCCACTCCTCAAATTTGAACCTGTGACCTTTCGGTTCAGCAGAACAGTGGTTTAACCCACTGCACCACCGGGAGCTCCAGTCTAAAATTACTGGGGCCAGAAGTATGTATATGTATGTATATAATATGTGAATATATGGTGGAGGGAGGAAAGAGGGACGAAAGGATGGAAGGGAAGGATGGTGAGAGAGAGGAGGGCCTGAGGGGCTGCATCCGGCCCCTGGGCCTGGTTTTACCCATATCTGATCTATACTTTAGAATTCACACAATTTGACACTTTTAACTGCTTAGTGCTATGAAATCGGGAGAGTTGTAGTTTTACAAGAGCACAAACTACAAATCTTATGTTTCTATAAATATTCAGATGTGACAGCTGAAGTGGGATCAAACTGCATTAATTCGACAGTGTAGCAACACTATGAATTACTTTAATTTAGGATTACTATAGAAGGGAGAAGAGCCACTATTCTGTTAGCAAAGCTATTGAAAGCCTGCTTTCAAGAAGCCACTAAGACCAGAAGGGTCCTAGAATGAGTCCCTCATGTAGTACATAGGCCGACTATAAAAAGAATTGTGAAAAATATAAACCATACAAAACATCATAAGCCTATAGGTAACACAATATAGGCAAATCAGAAACCATATAGTACAGTACAAAATATGGAACAAGGACGACAGCTAGAAAGAACAAAGACCAATAAAAAATTACAGGCAATACCATGTGGCTGTGTTCCAATCAGTTGTTTGGGACCTGTAATCCAACACTAAGGGTGCATCTACACTGAAGAATTAATGCAGTTTGGCACCATCTAAGTGCCATGGCTCACTGTTGTGGACTCCTAGGAATAGAAGCATTACAAGGTCTTTAGCCTTCATTACCAAAGAGGGAAGATGCTTCATCAAACAACAACTTCCAGGATTCCACAGCACTGAGTCACGGCAGCTAAAGTGCTATCAAACTGCATTTATTCTACAATGTAGATGCACCTTTGGAGAACCACACAACTCCCATCCCTATACCAAGAAGGGCAGAAACCTTGATATATCTTGGGATGCTGACGGCTCCTTCAATTTAATGTTTTCTTGGTACTGAACAGCTAGCATGACCTAAAAGGGAAACTGCACTGAAGGAGTTTTTGCTGGTCCACAAACCCTCTCTGAAATTGTTTTGTGGCCAAAAAGATTAAAACTTTGACCTTTCTGAGTTCATTTGTTTTGTTGGAAAAGTCCAGGGTTTAGATACAGATTAATGCAGCAATCATCTATCAGACTTTTTGGAAAAGCAATTTATCTTTTAATCTTTTTTTTCCAAGAACTTTGCTTGCGCATTATTTAACTGTTCCAAATATATTTAAAGCTGAGAAGAGATTTTAAAAGCATTAATAGTTTTTTATTTGTTTGTAATTGTCTTGTTTCGATACTTGTTTGAGTTTAGTTTCATTTTAATATTTGTCTTTTGTGTTTTGCTTTTGAAGTGTGAAACTCTTTGGATATCAATTCTTATAAAAAGGGGTGGAAGAAGGGGAGGAGAAGGAGGAGGAAGGAGAGGGAGGGGAAGGGCAGAAGAGGGAAAGAAAGAGAAGGAGGAGAACAGGAGGAGGARGAGRAAGAGAAAGAGGAGAAGGAAGGGGAAAGGGAAGGGGAAGAGAGGGATGAGAAGAAGGAAGGGGAATGGRAAGGGAAGAAGAGGAAGACGAAGGAGAGGGAGGGGAAAGGAACAGGGAGGGGAGGGGAAAGAGAAGAAATGGAGGAGGAAGGGGAAAGGGAAGGGGAAGAGAAGGTGGAGAAGGAAGAAGGGAAGAAGAGGAAGGAGAAGAGTAGGAGGAAGGGAAAAGGGAAGGGGAAGAGRAGGAGGAGGAGGAGGAGGGAAGGAGAAGGGACAAAGAGGAAGAAGAGGAGGAGGAAGGAGAGGGGAGGGGAAAAACAGGGGGAGGAGGGGGAAGAGGAAGAGAAGAAAAGGAGGAGGAAGGGGAAAGGGAAGGAGAAGAGAGGGAGGAGAAGAAGGAAGGGGGAAAAGGGAAGAAGAGGAAGGAGGAGAGGAGGACGGAGAGGGAAGGTAAGATGGAGGGGAAAGGAACAGGAGGAGGGGGAAGAGAAGAAATGGAGGAGGAAGGGGAAAGGGAAGGTGGAGAAGGAAGGAGAAGGAGAGAAGAAGAAGGAGAAGAGGAGGAGGAGGAAGGGAAAAGGGAAGGGGAAGAGAAGGAGGAGGAGACGGGAGGAGGAAGGGAAAGGGAAAGGGAAGAAGAGGGAGAGAAAGAGGAGGAGGAGGAGCAGGGGGAAAGGAAGAGAAGGAGGAGGAGGGGGGAGAAAAAGGGGAAAGGAAAGGAAAAGGGAGAAAACAAAGAAGCCTCCATCATCAGTTCTTTCGCACGGAAGATACAATTTCTTACGAAGAGCATAGCTGGCTCAACATTATTTTTCCTCCTTTCTAAGCATCCCATTTCTTGAAACTGTGGGTAGGATGGTGGAATAAAATTACAACTTACGCATACAATGAAAGGTAAGAAGTAGTGTAGTGACATACATGTTAATAAAAACGAGCAGATGTTTGGTTGTTTCAACAGCACATTAAAAATCAATTGATAGTTTTCTATTTATTCACTTTGAAATATCGACAAGTAGCCATAAATCATGGAAGTAAAACCCAGAAGTGTGGTAAATGAACTAACTTAGTCTTCCAACCTCTGCAGATGTGCATTTTGGTAGATCTGGTCATTCAAAATCTTGGACTGAGCAGAAAATAGCCATGACTTTGGAGATCCTGGAGCCATAACATATAATTATTAGGATTGAGTTGTATGTTCCATGTCCTATATTATAAGGACATGGAGCACAGAACACCATTGGCCTGAAATGACTGCCATTAACCCCAAAGCTGAAGACTTGTTTATCCGTTTGAAGGACTTCCTATCTCAGTTCTTCAGAAGAATAAATCTTTCTAAAATGCACATTGCATGGGATTGCACATGGGAGGTGGCACCCCAATATGTATGTATGGCTTTCAGAAGCTTCAGGAGGGGAAACAGTCTGTTTCCATTTGTTCAGTCTACTGGCACTGCCAAATCTCAATCAAGCAGATGGTGATCCAGTTTCATGCTGAGGTGAAATGATTTTGCAATTGATAGGTGACGGCTATGCCCACAACTCTACACAAAGGCACAAAGGCATGGCTGGCTTCATGGTCCTGGAAAAACACATTATAAGTCAAAGTTGACAATTCTCACTGAAGTTGCTGTACCTGATGCTGCTGCTGTCTGGATGAACAGAGAAGGATAAGTGAGCCTCAGTCGTACCTCTGAATGGGTACAAGTGACATTTTCACAATGCAATGGACAAATCTGCCTGGTACTTAAGTAAGATTGCCAACTGACTACCCCTGCTTAATGATTTTGTATTGTGTATACCTAAATTGTTGTAAACCGCTCTGAGTCGCCTAAGGGCTGAGAAGAGCGGTATACAAATAAAGTAAAGTAAATAAATAAATAAATAAATAAATCACTATCTGGTTCCATTTATCCGCATCCACAAGAATATGTCCCTCCAGTCCTTCAGCATTACTCTATGGTGTCCTTGGTCTTCTTCCTTTCAATAAGGTTCATTATTATTCATAGTTCTGTGTATCCTCACGAAATCCTGGAATGTAACCCCATGGAGATGGGTGTCATACTATATATATTTATACATACATATATGTAATGGTTTGCCAATTTGCTTTTAAGAAGGGGCCGAACAGGAGTCAATATTGCATTATTATCATCAGCTAATGTCTGCATGTGGGACATGGCAACCCAATCTGAATCAAGATCAAACTGTTATTAGAAATCACAAAAACTAAAACTGTTAAGGGAAAAAATGTGTGAGAGCGAGGTCACTATGTATCAGATGCATTCCTATGGCAGAATGGTTGCTAATCCTAATTCTGAAACAAAATAATTGAGGGAGTAAACCCCACCTACTCCCAGCTTTTCCAATATTTTTACACCCACTTTCCTCCAATATGGTTTAGAAGACTTTTCATTAGCACTGTTGATTTCCTTACAAATCTGCGTTAAGTGGAGGGGGGAAAGGCAGTGGATGTGTAGAAACAACAAAGCAGTTCTATTAAAAGGCTTCTATAACTGCTGTATCCTATGGCTACATCTCCAACTAGCAACAGAAATAATGCACATGTAATACCACCCTCAGAACCTACAAAAGCTTAAAGTACAGTCTCAAGCTAGGCAGTATGGCACACATGTGACTACATCCACTTCTCAAGAATGCTATGAAAAATGGTACAACATGATACCAAAATGTCCTGAGTTTCCATGAGGAAGACGCAGCTATAGAAGTGGAACGCAGGATAGATTTGATGTTGTCACACAATTATACACCTTCGAGGGGTTGAGAGGGTATGGATCCGGTCTCCCGTTATGTGTCATTCTATCCCGAGAAAGCATTTGGAAAACACAGCACAATGTGTGCCAAACAAGAAGATTTTTAATAGAAAAGTTCCAGAGCCACCAAAATCAAGGGGGATTGGGGGATTTCCAAAGAAGGGGTTCCAAGGAGATGTCTTGCTGCATTGCACATTTTGTGTGCTTGCAAGTCAGAAGTGGGGTGGGGGGAAAGTCCTCAAGAGAATCACACAGTTTGGAGAGAGGGAGAGGCTAAGAGAGGATAAACACACGTCAATGTAGTTCGACCGCCTTCTCTCCGTATCTATGTCAAGCTTCATGTAATCTTCAAGGGTGATTTCTTGTGGGCACAGAGGAGGCTGACATATGGAACGCCAATGAAAGCCCACTTCTCACTGGGCCAGAACTTGATGACAGGGCCTTGTTCGGGGATCTCAGAAACGGCGTCGAAATAGGCGAAACAGACACAACCCAGGTAAGCAGCAATGCAGATGAGGATGTGCCTGAGAAGGTGAAAGAGGAGAAACAAAAGCTAAGTCCAACACCAAACACTTAGGCCTGACATTTTTCATTTGCTTGAAAATATAGCTAATACTCATTATGATTCTGCAAAAAAAAAAATCTGTGTCATGAGCAACTTGAGAAACTGCAAGTTGCTTCTGGTGTGAGATAATTGGCTGTCTGCAAGGACGTTGCCCAGGGGACGCCCGGATGGCCTAATGAAAGCCTTTTGAAACCCTTTTGAAACCTCACAGAAGAGCGATTCATTCCCCAAGTGGAATTCAGTTTATAAAGCCTCAAAAGATATTATTTCAAACAATTAAAAAAACCTTGAAAGAAACCCGAAAAAGGGATACCCCTCCTGAAACAAGGACGATAAACACCCAGGAATCCTTGTACTATTCTCAAGACTTTTTATCTCATCTTGAACTCACATGGGACTATTTTGGATATGTTAAAGTTTGTCCACATGACTTTTGGAAGATCTGACTCATTATTTGGAAAACATGAATATTATGTTTGTTACACCATTGTAAATAGTCGCATTGCATTTGTTCCCTATGCTTGTGCACTATATAAATTAATTGAGTATTCTCATGATTAACTGAATTTATACTTTTGCTGAAGTTTAAAGCAACAGGACATTTGTGTATTTACATTGTACTTATAGATATCTGTGTAGTTAGAGAGTTTTGATTGTGGCACCCACAGGCGTAAGTTAGCCTGCATATATCTATTTTTGGTCACCACAGAAGTTGATGTTCCGTTTCTCCTTCTGCAGCAAACAAAGACATCCCCAAGACCTACTATTGAGGAGCCACAGCCTATCATATAACCATTCCATGCCCAAAAGAGACTGGATACAGGGTTGCAGAAGCTTAAACAGATGTAAAATGAACACATTTGTTGCTTTTTTTTTGTTGTGTCAGGAGCGACTTGAGAAACTGCAAGTTGCTTCTGGTGTGAGAGAATTGGCTGTCTGCAAGGACGTTGCCCAAGGGACGCCTGGATGATTTGATGTTTTTATCATCCTTGTGGGAGGCTTCTCTCATGTCCCCGCATGAGGAACTGGAGCTGATAGAGGGAGCTCATATGCCTCTCCCCGGATTTGAACCTGCAACCTGTCAGTCTTCAGTCCTGCCGGCTCAGGGGTTTAACCCACTGCACCACCGGGGGCTCCCTACATTTGTTGATGAGACCACTAAAGGACTTCAGTTGACCCCAGCAGATGAAGTAATTGATCCATGTCTGGCTATAGCAGTGGTTCCCAACCTTTTCTTGACCAGGGACCACTTTGACCAGGAACCACTCTCCAACATTTATACCAAAGGGCTACGAATCAGTTTTTGGTCAACTTTAGATTCGGTTTGGTAATTTGGGGTGCTGATTCAGAAAATTGCATTGAATACACTACATCAGCTCTAGTTTCTGATACAGAACATATGCCATCCAGTAGTCGTCATTTGCTTGTCTACAGAAAATCATATTTAATAAGCCACAACACTATAAGAGGGTTTCACAAGACCAGTAGCTCTCATGGCAATGGTGTAGTAATGGGGAGGCCACAGACCATGTTTTAATTCTTGCAGACCACTGGTGGTCCATGGACCAAAGATTGGGAACCACTGGGCTATAGGGACACAGTCAAACACAATCCTTCTACCTTCTCTCCAAAAGACACAGACTGGCCATTGATAGGGAGCTCTACATTAGGGTTGTGGTGGTAAAAGGCTCAACATAGCACAATTCTGCATTTGGAAGCATTATATTACGCTGAGACATACAGGATTGCAGCCCTTATGTAACACTGAAGAGTGGAGAGTACAGAAATATTAAAAGGGAGCAAAAGTCTAAGATCCAGAGAGAAGACTCACCATACACAGTGTAGATATGGAAAGTTGAATGATGACCAGATCTCACAAAACACTTTGTCGCTGATCCAACAAAAGAGTGCCAACATCCACCAGAGTCCAGAAAAAAGTCCCAACTTGTAAACTCGCACATTGTCACACCTATGAACAACACAAGAGTTTGAAGGTTATTAAAACCTATTGGTGATTGCTTCAAACTGTGGAACTCCTACTACAGAGAAGTAGGCTCCTTTATACCAATAGACAAAAAGGACCTTTTTTAAATCAACAGAAGTTGCTCTATTTTTATCCCCACACTGTGAGACATTTTGAAAAACAGAATGTATCTTCTTAACTCTCTGCATTGGTGTGGAATTTGCATGACCCCACCCACTGCCTCTCCCTTTGGGGAAAATTCATCTTGATTTGGGGGAGTTGTAGTTCACCTACATCCAGAGAACACTGTGAACCCAAACACAAATGTATCTGGACCAAACTTGGCACACATACCTGATATGCCAACATTTTATAACTGGAGAGATTTGGGGGGAACTGACCTTCCTTTCTGGGAGTTGTAGTTCACCTACAACCAAAGAAACTGTGACCTCCACCAATGATGGACCTGGACCAAACTTGGCACACAGAACTCCCAAGACTATCACAACCTACTGGAGGGGTTTGAGGGGACTGATTTACCATAGTGGGAGTTGTAATTTACCCTACAGCCAGAGAGCACACTGAACCCCACCAATGATGCATCTAGAGCAAACTTGCCCAACATAACAAACTTTAAGTATTGGGAGTTTTTTGGGGTTAACCTGGCATGATGTGAGTTGTAGTTCACCCATACCTTATGCATTTTGTACAATTAAAAATTGATTTTTTCAAATAACCCGGGTAACGCCGGGTCCCCAAGCTAGTATATAATGAAACCTGAGCATCCAAGGATTTTGATGTCCACTGTGGTTCCTGGAAACAAACCTCTTGTTCATAACTTGGGAACTGCCTGTACTACTCATTGCATAGGCTATCCTTAATCACAATGCAGTTGAGTTGAAACATCTGGTTTGCAATGGTACTGGTTAAATGGCAATGCATGGCATTTAGGATATAATACTGATATAGCAGAATAGGCTCCCTTTCTCAGCCCATTTGTAAAGATTTAATTGACAGCTTTGAAGAATAATCAGGGGGGAAAAGGAGGCTCGACCACTTGATTTCTTAACCCAACCACTGGTTTTATAGCAGGGTAGGTTACAAAGCAAAATAAGGTGAATAAATTTGAAACACCCCATGCTTCAGGTGGCACATACTGGTGTGATCTTGCAAAGCAACCACCTTCAGGGTATTTGGAATATCTGCGGGCATACAAGAGAACGTATTACACTTTAATTCTAGGTATTAAATTCTACCTTCCTGCATGTAATTTCCATTTAACAAGCTTTCTAATGTCACGAGGCTACAGAGCTGGTTCATCATCGGCAGTCAGACAAAGAAACGGGCAGGTAGGCTCCTACCTTTTAAGTTCTGCCACAAGCAGGGCACTGCAGGGAAGACCCAAAGTCATCAGCGAAATGTTATTGATGGCAGGCTTAATGAAGGCAAGGCAAGTAGTAACTCCAGAAAGGATCCCCACCGCAGCTTTAAACCGGCCCCTAAATAATAATTTTCAAAAAGTGTCATTTAAGTGTTAAACAAGTAGAAGCAATGAAGATCTATGCCAAAATGTTGGTTTACATCCTTCATTACTGCCCCCCCCCCCCCCGGCCTCCATATATCCAACTCAAACATGTTTTCCAAACACAAAACCTTTGAGAGACAGCTTGTATAYAAGTCCCTTAAAGAATTTTAAAATATTGAAAGACTGCATCCTGCAAAAACCCCTTCAACGTCATGAAATAAATATTTTAGGTTTGCATCCTCTTGTAAGCTAGATGTCCTCATAGCTGATTCTGATTGACATCTATGATCATGGTGGTACTGTCACAAATATAAATACTTTTAAGGAAAGCTTATGGGGTAAGATCAGGAGGGCAGAGCAGAGTTACTTATCCCATCTTGGTTACAACAAGTGACAGCTTGTCCATCAAAATAACCATCAATGGTTCTGAGCCTGTTTTAAGAACAGGGCTCCGCACCCAGGATACCTCCGTTAAAACAAGGACTAAATCCCGAAATGATGGGATCCACTCTAGCTTCCACTTCTTCTCCAAGGTCTACAGTCCCACCTGTAGATTAAATCTGCAAAACTCAAAGCAGTGGTTTGTGGACTGATGCCATTAGGCAAGCCATTGTTTTCTGGTCTACATCAAAGGCCAGGAAAGGAACATTTTGGCACCAAAGTGGAGCAAGGGAGAAGGAATGCCAGCTTACTATATAAAATAGCTTTAATGGGAGTAAATAAAAAAATAGATTTTGTCTATCCCATTAGCTTTTTTAGCTGCCGCATAACATTGTTGGCTCATGTTTAACTTATTGTCCACGAGGACTCCAAGATCTTGCCCTCAAGCCAGGCGTCCCCCATTTTGTATCTTTGCATTTCATTTTTTCTGCTTAAGTGGAGTATCTTGCATTTGTCTCTGATGAACTTCATTTTGTTAGTTTTGGTCCTTCTCTCTATGGCACTGTAGAAGGGGTCTGAGAGGAGAGCTTACGAGGGCAAAAACAGCCGGCCCTTTGTATTCACAGATTCTGTATCCACCATTCATGGCTTGAAAATATTCAAATAAATTCCAAAAAGCAAACTTTAATTTTGAAATTTTATATAAGGGACACTATTTTACTACAGTTCCATTGCATATAATGGGATGTGTGAATCCACAGATTTTGGTATCTACGGGAATCAAAATAAGGAGTCACTGTAACAGGAAGCATGGCCACACATTAGCTGCATCCAAGCAAGGTAGTCAGAGAAGTTCAGGTACCTCCTGAACCAATGTTGAGCTAAATTGTGGTAGGATTAGACTACCTCCTGGAGCCTTGAGGATTCTGCTTAAAACTTTCTAATGTCCCTGACTAGAATCATATTTTTTAATTAAGAAAACAAAACAAGAATAGATAAACCTTTCATCACAGCTAAATGGAACAGAACAAAACATGGCTTTTGATAACAGCAAGTGGGAAACTGAAAAAAGCTCAGCTGCATTCAGAACTTCCATTGGCAGAGACTCCTAATACTATTAACTGTTGGTCGGCAGGAAAGAAGGCCCCAGTGGCGCAATGGGTTAAACCCTTGTGCTGGCAGGACTGCTGACTAAAAGATCGGCAGTTTGAATCCAGACAGCGGGGTGAGCTCCCATCTGTCAGCTCCAGCTTCTCATACAGGGACATGAAAGAAGCCTCCCAAAGGATGGTAAAAACATCCGGGTATCCCCTGGACAATGTCCTTGCAGACAGCCAATTCTCTCACACCAGAAGCAACTTGCGGCTTCTCAAGTTGCTCCTGACACACACACACAAAGCAGGAAATGAGGATATGGGCCAATATTATTCTGTGCAAATCAGAATAGCATAGGAGAATGGGAGTCCATTCTCACTTTACATTTTGCACCTGGGTCCGGAGAGACTCCAAAACACTATGCCTCTCGTCAAATATGAAGGAGCCACTCTTGCAAAATGGAGCACATGTTTCTTTAAAACACCCAGAAGCTGGAGCTGAGATGAGATCAGGCCTTTTGGCGCTTTAACAGAACATACATTTTTCAGGAGTCACATGCTGCACACACTTTGAACATGTATTTTACCTTTGGATGTACAGATCCAAGCACACAATGTAAACTTGTAAGTGGTCTGCTGAGAGCAACAACTGCAGGCGTGCTGAAGGGTTTATTAGCTGATTAGTGATCTATAAATAACCAGATAATAGAACCGCACAGAGCGTTCTGAAGTTGCCACCTATTTTTGGGTGTTAGAAGCCTGCCTTGGAGAAAGAGGCAATGGGGGGAAGGGGAACAGCAGCAAAATCTGGGATTTATTTAGGTTCTGGAGGCGGGAAGAGAAGACTGTCAGCATCTTGGCAAAAGCAGGAGGCATGCAATTTCACAGCGTAAACAAGTCTCATACAAGAGTAATCAAGTCACAAGATTGGGTTACGGCCCAGAGCTATTTAAGAGAGGGGTTGTTTTTGTTTTGGGTTGTGGTGTTTCTCTGGAGCCAGCTACGGCAGCACTGCAACGGGAAGGTCAAATTTGGGTACTTTGAAAATAATGATAATGCGAAACAGGATAGGATGGTGAAGGAAACATCACAGTAAGTAATCACCACCAAGACAAAAGTAAACATCAACAGTGAAGATAAGTTTTCAAGACTAGAACTCTCAGATTTGGAACCAGAGACCTGGATCACGGATCCTGATAGTTGTCATCCAAAAATAACTTTTCCAAGTTCTGTTTGCAAGATACTGCTCTTTTGGAAAACCTTCTTGAATTTGGCTTGCGACATAGCAATTCCTGACCAGATTCAAGGTTATCTTGTGAGGTGAGTTTCATGGGTAAAGGGTAAAGGTTTTCCCCTTGACATGAAGCCCAGTTGTGTCCGACTCTGGGGATTGGTACTCATCTCCATTTTTAAGCCCAAGAGCCGGCGTTGTCCGTAGACACCTCCAAGGTCATGTAGCTGGCATGACTGCATGGAGTGCCATTAGCTTCCGGCCGGAGTGGTACCTATTAATTTACTCACATTTGCATGTTTTTGAACTGCTAGGCTGGCAGAAGCTGGGGCTGATAACAAATCAAAAGACAAATGAACATAAATTACTAAAATTTCAAAGATAAACACACACACACACGTGTGTGCATTTGTGTGAAAACTTATACCAAACACAGACACAGAATTGACATACAGTGGTAACAGAAGGGAAATCGAAACTCATGACTGACTGGGTAGGCTTGTCGGAAGAGATGAGTCTTCAACTGGTTTTAAATTCTGACACCTTGTTTAGCTGTCGGATCACTTTTGGCAAGTTGTTCCACAGACACCATGCAGAACACAGAAGCACTGACAACCCAACAGCACCAAAATGTAATGCTGTATCCACAGATTCTCTGTCCATGGATTCAATGGTGCTTTGAAGGCAACCATTAGGGGTGCGGTGGCACAATGAGTTAAATTGTTGAGCTGCTACACTTGCTGACCTGAAGGTTGGCAGTTCGAATGTGCAGGACAGGGTGAGCCCTGCTGTTAGCCCCAGCTCCTGCCAACCTAGCAGTTCGAAAACATGAAAATGTGAGTAGATCAATAGGTACTGCCTCGGTGGGAAGGCAAAGAGGTGCTCCATGCAGTCGTGACAGTCACACAACCAGGAGGTGTCTACAGACAATGAAGACTCCTTGGCTTGGAAATGGAGATGAGGAAATGGAGATGAGCACCTCCCCCAGAAATGGAGATGAGCACGGCCTCCAGAGCCAGAGATGAAAAGAGGAAGCCTTTGCCTTTGTGTTTCATTGTATCAAGTCACTAAATGTTTGCCTCTGTCTGTATTTATGCTATAACCCGCTTTGAGTACCCTCAGGGAGATAGGCTGGAATATAAATAAAATGTTATTATTGTATTATTATGATGTGGCCTTTGATGTAAATGAGTTTGACACCCCTGCTTTGGAGGAAAGTGTCTCCAAACACAACAGCTGTTCCACATCTTTCTTGCAACCTGTGAATCCTGCATTTCTATACTTCTTCTCCCATGTCTTCCATTTGCTTTCTTCCTTTCAGGAAAGTAGGAGCCATGATAGCAAAGCGGAAATGTTGGAAAACCAGGACCTTAAGATATATTACCTGTCATTTCTAAACATTCTGGGTAAATATCTTCTGGGAAACCACATCGCCAGAGCGCACATTAAGACCCAGAGTATAGCGAGTTCATCAAGCATCTGACCCAGGAAACTAAGCGTAGCATGGAAGTAAACGGACCCAATTCCTAAAAGGGAACATTGAAAAAGCAAACGGTCATTTTGGCAGGCAGATACTCGTCTTGAGAACAGCAGATGGTTTTGTAATGAAAGTTAAAATTAAGCCATTGAAACACACAGCCAACAAAAAGTAATTAAAGGGATAGAAAACAAACTGATGTTTGGAATTCGCTTTGAGTAATTCTGAATTTTTTCCTGCACATGCATACTTGTCAATTATTCCATCAGAGATCTTACTCAAGAGATGATAAGCTTTCGAAAGAAAGAGAACTACTGTTCCTCCAGACTCATTACTCCAATAGTCCACGTGCTCACCTTCTGCTCCATCACATGGGGGGAAAGATGAGTGCTTGTCTCTATATGATGCCATCTTGACTAATGAAATTGATTTATTATAATGTTAACAGCAATGACACACTTTCCCCAAGGGCTCAGAAAAGTGTTTGTAGTGCATCTCCTCGCCATTTACCTTCATAGATAAATTGGTACTTGACCATGGATTTTTGCAACCCTAACCGCTATGCAGTGTTGACTCACTCGTCAATTAGAAACTCTGCTCATGACATTGGACTGAGTAAAAACAGCAAAAGCAATGTATACTTCTAAATCAGATTCAACTCCTGAATTATAGTATGCCAGCAAATGAAGATATCTTGCAAAAAAAAATAGTGGTTGAGCAGATGATGCTGAAAAAAGTATCAGTTCCCTTCCCTTCTCCTTTCCTTCCTCCTATTTCCTTCCCTCTTTCAATTCTTCCTTCCTTTCTTCGCTCCCTTCTTCCTTCCTTCTGATTGGTACTTCCAGTCTTATAAGTGCTTTTGCATTTGCACAGTGATCTTCTTAACAGAAATTTAGTTATAGCAATGTGCTGTCTAATCCTACTCTTGCATTGTTGAAGGCTTTCATGGCTGGAATCACTGGGTTGCTGTGAATTTTCCAGGCTGCATGACCATGTTCCAGAACCATTCTCTACTGACATTTGGCCTACATCCAGGCATCCTCAGTGTGTGTGAGGTCTGTTGGAAACTAGACAAGTGAGGTTTATTTACTGTGGAAGGTCAATGTGTTGTTGAATCAGGCAGGAAGCAGTCAGGCTTTGCAGCTGCAAGGCCTTTCAATGCTAATCAAGTTGGCCAATTTCAACATTCGCACTTGCCTCCAGCAGACAAGAGTTCTTTCTCCCACCCTGGACATTCAACAGAGATATAAACCTCACTTGCCTAGTTTCCAACAGACCTCACAACCTCTAAGGATGCCTGCCATAGATGTGGGCAAAATGTCAGGAGATAATGCTTCTAGAACATCACTAGACAGCCCAGAAAATTCACAGCAACCCAATCCTATTCTTGTTTACTACTCTAAATGCATGTGCTTCACTACGCTCAGAGGGGCTTGTCTCCAAATAAGTAAACATGGAGTTGGGCTAAAAATAGTTTCTAATGCTCTCAGTTGTAGGCCACTGCATCAGGTGCCCATGAAAAGACAGCTTGACAGACAAGTATAATAAATAAAATAACTGAAATTAAATTAGTTTGCCCACTATGGAAATTAAATTAGTTTGCCCACTATGGATTCACAAACCATTCTTTCTCACTATCTGCTGAATCCTAGAGTATCTTGTAGCAACTGAAGTTATCTTATTTCAGCATATATCACTGTGCACTGAAATTATCTAAGTGGCATCAAGTTGAAAATTTTTATTAGGAGCATGGGTTGTATTTGTGAATTTGGCAGATCAAACTCCAAACGTTAGAGTAAGGATGGGAAGCCTAAGGATGCATCTACACTGTAGAACTAATAAAGCTTGACACCACTGTAACTGCCATGAGTCAATACTACAGAATCATGGGGATAGTAGTTCTACAAAGTCTATAGTCTTATCTGCCAAAGTGTGCTGGTGCCTCACCAAACTACACCTCCCAGGAGTCCGCAGCACTGAGCCATGGCAGTTAAAGTGGTGTTAAACTGCATTAATTCCACAGAGTAGATGCACCGTTGACCACCTGGTGTTTTGGGCTTCAACTGCCAGAAGCCCCAACAAAATGGCTAATTGTAAAAACTGTCAAAATCGTATTCCAAAACATTTGGAATGCTAATGATTCTTGTTTTTTAACCCCCAAGTATGCATCATATTTTTTAAAAATAAAATTAAATAAACTTTAATACCCTAAAGTTTCAGGTCACGGTATGGACAGACATAGAAAAACTTACCAACCACCACTAGCAGGGTCCATATTAAATATATTCCACTGTTGAAGCAGGTTGCATATTGTCGAAATAAACACATACATATGGGTGGCAAAACAAAAAATAAGATGTTGCTTATCTAGGGGAAGAAAATGAAAAAACAAATATTAAATAAGCAGAAATGAATAATGAAATAATAAGTTTTTAAGTAAGGACTTCTGGTGATGCTCGGAACAACTCAGGCAACCTAAGTTTAGGTCACACCTGGGCAACCTGGAGCAGAGAAGGGCCAATAAAATGGTCACAATCTATGTCATTTCCCACAATATCCCTTCCTTTCTTTCCAACTTTCAAAGTCTATACAAAAGTGTAGATAGCATGACATTGTGCTATTGAGGAAGTAGCACAATGGCTCTGTTATGGGAAAATACTTTTCAAGAAACAAAGTGTTCGAAGGCTCCAATGAAGGCTTGTCCCAGACAGGAATGTGTAGAGTGTGTATCTGCAACTCCCAACATTCCTCAACACCAGTTAGGGTTAATTTCATTCATTTGTGTGTTGGTTTAACGTATAGTTTGTCTTTCTTCCAAAATGGGATCCATGACACAGCTAGAACAAGTAGTCCTAGGAAGAATGGATGACCAATGGTCTGATTCAGTTATAAAATAAGTGGTTACTTGATACCTAAAAGTGGACAAAGGGATTGGAAAATCTATACTTCTTCCAAGAGTCCAAAGAGATGAAATTTCAGCTAGGTTGGACCACAACTTTGGTGATTAGGGTTCAATTCCCCACTTAGCTGTGAAAACCAACTGGGTGACCTTCGACTACTCACATGCTCTCTGCCCCAGAAAACCCTATGAGTCGCCAAATACTTGAAGGCGCACAACAGCAATAAACGTGGCTACCCAGACTCCCACTTTCGACATTAAAGGGACATAAGTTGATCAATGAGTCAGTATGGTGTGAGTGTTGGGCTAAGAGTCTGGCAGATCAGGGTTCAAATTCCCACTCAGCCTTGGAAGCTTACTGGATGACCTTGGCCAAGTCACACTCTCTCCAAAGAAAGCCGCATAATAAGTTCACCTTAAGGTTTCCATAAGTCTGAAACGACTCAAAGGTGCACAACAAATAGACCAAGATAGGCATCAGACATGCAGAACTGGATTCCTTTATTTAAGTGGTTCCCAACCTGTGGTCCATGGACCAACAGTGGTCCCACAGAACAAAAACATGGTCAGTGGTCTCACATTACTACACCGTTGCCTCAAAACCACGCAGCAAAGAGAGTGACTGGTCTCACACAACCCTCTTATAGTGCCGAGGCAACAGGGATGTTGGGGAGAGGATGACTACCCACAAAAAATTACCACTACCACATCAGATCTAGATTATTAAATATTGTTATCTACGGGCGAGCAGATGGCGACTACTGGATGGCATATGTTCTGTATCAGAAACTAGAGATGATTTGGTCTATCCAATGCAATTTTCTAAATCAGCATGCCAAGTAACCCAACCAAATCTAAAGTTGTCCAAAAACTGATTCGTAAATCTTTTGGTAGCTGTTCAGCAGAGGAACTCTCTGTCCCAGAGTGTGATGGAGGGTCCTTCTTTGGAGGCTTTTAAACAGAGGCTGGATGGCCATCTGTCGAGGGTGCTTTAAATGCAATTTTCCTTCTTCTTGGCAGGGGGTTGGACTAGATAGCCCACGAGGTCTCTTCCAACTCAATAATTTTATTATTCTAATGTTGGAGAGTGGTTCCTGGTCAAAAAAAGGTTGGGAACCACTGCTTTATTTACTAGCAGAAATTGCCAGAATTGACAACAGCAGAGGAAAAAGATTCTCCTTTTCCCTACAGTATTCCATCCCTTTTCCCCACGTCATCCTTCTCAAGCTGCGATTCAACCAACTGGAGAAAGCAGAAAATGAGGATTGGTTCTGGGGAAACGTTTTCATGGGTGGATAAGTATAAAAAGCCAGCTTGGAGACTCTGTTATTATGTTGTAGCATAACATTTTAAGGCTCTACTGGAATGTTAGGTTGGAAGGCAATTTAGTGGTTTATGTTGTGTCTTCTTTATATCTGTGTGTTTCTCCAAAACTTAAAACTGTTAGCTGCAATTGGTAAAAGTTCTTCCACAAATTTGGGTGCCATGTCTTGGAAGTTTTGTACTAATTTGACAGTGAAGCCCCATTAACCTCAGGAATGGTTACAATTTTGAGATCTGCAATGAATTATTTATCAACCGTTCAAAAACTAATCATGGTGATATTATTTAATACTGCTTAATACCACAAGAAATCTATAGTGATCTCTGACTTATGATATACTATTGGTAATCTACATATTTTATTGCTTTTTAAAAGAAAATATGAACTGTCTTCATTATCAACGATAAAGAGAGACATTTAAGACAATATTATTATTTATTATTATTTATTTAAATTCTTATATTCCACCCTTCTCACACTGAAGGGAAATCAGGGCAGATTACAGAACACAAATACAGCAAACATTCAATGCTGATAATACAATGACAAGATAGGCAACAGAAAGAGGTATATTTAGGTTTTTTCTCATCACTTGGCATCTTTTGGAGGCTGTGCTCGGTTCCGGCCACAGAAGGGTGTTGTCGCTCCATATCCTTGCCAAAGAGCTTTCTTTGTTTGTAAACATTTCCTATGAAATGTCTAAAATACCTTCCCACTTAATGTGCTTCCTATTCATCTACTCACATTGCTGTTCTCGATCTGCTAGGTAGGCGGGGAGCTGGGCTGAAGGTCAGCAGCTCACCCTGACCCAGCTCTGAACTGTCAACCTTTTGATTTACTGCAGCTGGTAATTAACCTGCTGTGATAAAGCAATAAGTACGTTTATGATATTATGGCAGTTCTGTTTTGGTTTGCTTTCTGTCAAGCCAGAAGACAAATTATGTGTTAGACCTGATATACAGGAAATATTGTCATTACCTGTCAGTCTGCATTCCTTGCCTTTTTGCCCCTCTTTAAGAGGGTAAATTTTACAAAATGAGAAATGTTGCAATTGCTTGGCTGATTTGACACAACTGATACGAAATCCCAGCTTTGCTTGATTCAGAAATATAGATTCACCTATACTAGTAGTTCTCAATCTTCCTAATGCAGTGAACCTTTAATACAGTTCCACATTTTGTGGTGACCCCCAACCATAAAATTATTTTAGTTGCTGCTTCATAACTGTAATTTTGCTACTCTTATGAATTGTAATATAAATATCTGATATGCAGGATGCATTTTCATTCACTGGACTTAATTTGACACAAATACCAAATATGCCCAAATTTGAATACTGGTGGGGTTGGGGAGGGATTGATTTTGTCATTTGGGAGTTGTAGTTGCTGGGATTTATAGCTCACCTGCAATCAAAGAGCAATCTGAACTCCACCAACAATGGAATTGAACCAAACTTCGCACACAGAACTCCCATAACCAACAAAAAATACTGGAAGGGTTTGGTGGGCACTGACCTTGAGTTTTGGAGTTGTAGTTCACCTACACCCAGAGAGCACTGGGGACTCAAACAATGATGGATCTGCACCAAACGTGGCACAGAATCTCAATATGCTTAGATGTGAACACTGGTAGAGTTTGGGGAAAATAGACCTCGACATTTGGGAATTGTAGTTGCTGGGATTTATAATTCACCAACCATCAAATTTGAATACTGGTAGGGTTAGGGAGGGATTGATTGTGTCATTTCAGAGTTGTAGTTGCTGGGATTTATAGTTCACCTGCAATCAAAGAACATTCTGAACTCCACCAACAATTGAATTGAACCAAACTTGGCACACAGAACTCCCCTGACCAATAGAAAATACTAAAAGGGTTTGGTGGGCCTTGAGTTTTGGAGCTGTAGTTCACCTACATCCAGAGAGCACTGTGGACTCAAACAATGATGGATTTGGACCAAACTTGGCACGAATACTCAATATGCCCAAATATAAACACAGATGGAGTTTGGGGAAAATAGACCTTGACATTTGGGAGTTGTGGTTGCTGGGATTTATAGTTCACCTACAATCAAAGAGCATGCCGAACACCATCAACGACAGAGTTGGTGAACTTCTCACACAGAACCCCCATGACCAACAGAAAATAATGTGTTTTCTGATGGTCTTTGGCAACCCCTCATGACCCCCCAGGGGTCCCAACCCTCAGGTTGAGAAATGCTGATCCATACAAAGTATTAATAGAATTTGATAACACTTTAACTGCAATGGCTCAATGCTATGGAATACTGTTTATTTTCATTTTACAAGGTCTGTAGCCTTCTCTGTCAAAGAGTGTTGGTGCTTCACCAAACTATAAATCCCAGGATTCCATTGCATTGAGCCATGGAGTTAAAGTGTTGTCAAACTGTATTAATTCTACAATGTAGATGCAGCCCAAGCTTCCTGATATAGAATAATGATTTTAAGCAGAAAACACACACACACACACACACAAAGAAAAAATGTTATCAAGAGGTGGCTGGTATAAATAACCACCCTTTTGTAGCTACAGTGCAGGCGTGTTCAATATGGGTAGAAATTACAATCCAAGACATGAACTACCTGTCTCGCTGCATATTTGTTCTTACCTTTAGGCACCAGGTTTCATTTAAACCTCTTTGTAAGCAAAAGAGGTCAAGGCAATTCGGAAACAAAAATGCGAGCCACCCTTGTCCTTCCTGTGGCTATTAGCCCGGAACGTGTTCCAAACATAATTAAAGGTTTGCGCAGAAGGGTTAGAATTAATTTTAGAACCTGTATAACAGTTCTCAGTGAACCTGAAATTCATGTACGCAAATCCAGCACTCGCTGCTTCTTTCTTTCTTTGCAAAATGCTGGTTTTCAAAATAAGGGCAGCACAGAGCCTTTCTAAAGGTGAACCACTTGCTATGTACCATAATTTAGAGCAGATGAGAGCACACAATATGTGTAAATTCCACTCACATCAAGATTGAATAGATAAACACTATAACAAATGTTGAAAAAAAATCTGTTTCTGGTTTGAAAGTGTTATTTCCTGTTTAATTGTGCAGTGCTTACTTTGAAGGTAGTTGTTATACTCCAGGAACTTCATTTTTGTGGATGCCACAAACTATCTTGAATTGGT